AAATACAGAGACCGCGTCCTAAGCAGGCCCGATTACTGGAACCCTCAGTCATATTTGAAGGGCAGTGTCTCGTGTTTTTAATTAGTTTCAATGTAGTTCCTGTATTATTGTATTTTCCATGTGTTTTTGGAAACGAATGTTTCATGGATGATTGGGTCATTAGTGCTTCAACAGGAAATCTTTGGGTCTTTGTTTGCATAGGATCCACACAGCACGCCTGCCCAAGCTTGGAGGAAATCAATGCAAAGATAAAACCAAATCCTGGCAAGCCGTTAATAAGGGCTCTGCTGACTGACGGGCAATGTGCACACTGCCAGTCAGGCCAACTCTGAGGGTGAATGAAGAGAAGGGACAAATCAAACCACGGCTCCAAGATTTGTTGTCTGTGTTGGAAACAAATTGTTTGAATTCAGAAAAGATGCAGTCATGGACAAGGCACCCTATTATTTGTTTATTGACTTTTATTTTTAGACTTTAAAAATGTTAAACTCTCCAGGCACATTATAGTAGCAATAAAATCACACAATCAGCATAGCCAGCCAGCTCCTAAAATTGTTTAAACTAGTCCTGTCACTTTCCCTCAAATCCCACCCAAAGTCAATATCCATATTCTTTGCTCTCTGTCACAAGAGGTCAGAATACACATCAGATGTGGGAGGCCAATAGTACAAGTGCAGTTTGGAGCTGAAATTTGCCCTGCAGTATAGAAAAATGAGAGCAAAGTCCTCCTTAAAAGTTTGCTCATTGATTTTTGAGGGTGCATTTGGAACCCTTCTCTGAAGCACCCAACAGTAATGCAATGGCATAAAGCAGGAACTCCAAGGGTAGGCTAGTAAGCCTGGAGCTTACTAACTGTGCATCTTTGAATAAGCTGGCCTTACCAAGTCCCCATCTGGCAGGGGAAAGGGGGTAGTTAATGCATATTTGCATGTTTACAGGATAGAGGGGTGATATTCTTTACCCAACAAATTTTGTGGGAGCCCAGATGTATGTTAGCAGTTGTTTGAAGCGCTGTGGAGAGCATCGTGAACAAAAGGGACATAAAGCTTGTCTTGATATTTAAGTTCATGTGGATGATGCGGAGAAATAAACAATAAGAACTGTAGCAGGAAGCAGGAAATCAAAATGCCACCACTCTCCACGCAGATTAGGGGTTGGGGACAGCCTTCCAGGAGCAAGGCTGAAGGCTAAGATCGTCCAGCGTGGCCAGGCATTGGCAGGGAAAGTGCTGAGCGACTGGCCAAGAGTGTGGCCAAGAGGGCTGTGTGGCCCAGGCCCCATCCCGCGGTCCCAGGAGGCCTGGGTGGCCCCCAGCCCCAAGATCGGTGCAGCGAAGCAGACAAGGGGAGCGGCCGCAGGGCTTCGCCCGGCCGACAGGTGGCGCTCACACTCCGGGAGGCTGGTCCGCGGGCGCCTTGTCAGGAAAGCGGGTTCCCAGGGCAGAAAGTGAGGGCGCCCAACAAAGGAGACCCTACGTGTTTGGTGACTCTGTTGGTTGGTTTGGGGGACCTGTTATTAAACATATTTGACTGTTAAGTGAATTGGTTTCTGTTAGGTCCCGAAGATAGTTTTGGACAATTCAGAGGGGCTTGTGTGATCTGGCAGACCCACTGTGCTCCCTGGGAAATCACGTTGATGGCCCCGACCTTGGCTCCCAGGATTCATGACCCCCACCCCACTGACTAGCTGAGACTCTGGCATGGCTCTCCTTGGATATTCCCAGCACCCTTGCTCTCCTCCTCCTTTCTTTGAACTTACCCGACCTTCGCCTACCCCGGGCTTTCCAAGGGTCCAGCATCCAAGCGGTGGAGTGGAGGAAAACAGCGCAGGGCTCCTGCAAATCCCAGACCGGGACCTCCTGGCCGCCTAGATGTTGTCCAGGGATCCTGCCTTCTGTCCCCTCGGTTCACTCCCATCTCATTTGCATGCTGTTTGGCAAATAGTCCTCCCCCTAGACCCCCCAGGACCTCTTCTGAGGTTCTTATGGGCACAATGAGAAGTTTTGTAAGTGCCCTTCACATCCACCCACCTTTTCATAAGTCTGCCCCTTCCTCCAGGGAGCTGGAGCACATCCTATCAAAGGCCAACCCTCATGTCTACTTCAAACCCACGCTTCTCACTGTACAAGGACATCAGGCCAAGAATTAGCCCTTTTCTCTCTTGCATTTCCAGCTTCTCTATTTTTATTGGATTTATCCCCACCAGCGTACATTCTTGCAGTTAAAAAAACAAATTAGAAAACCACATTTCTCTCCCAGCCTCTCTCTCAATTCTCCAGTTCCTCTCAAGACTTACCACAATATATCTCAAAAGAGTTTTCTCTCTCTAGAACCTGTCTCCAAACTCAATCTGTAATCAATTCCCATTGGCTTTTCCTGCAAAATATAACCTTTTATATGGCATATCACTACCCACTACTTCTGCTGACAGCACCCAGTTCTGAGCCACCTCCACCCCTTGCCTGGATCATGGCAATAGCTCTCTGACTTGGTTTCCCTGCTTGCACCCTTGCTCATTTTCAGCAGAAAGATTTACTCCTCTGCTCAAAGTCTTTCAACAGCTTTCCCTTTACATGCAAAGTAAAAGTCTCATGTAAGTAAAAGGCTCTACGTAGACTCACCCCCCCCCAACCTCCCTCCAGCACTTCAACTCTATCTCTGCACCTGTCACAGCCCCTTGACTGAGTCCCAGCCACGTGGTCTCTTTACTATGATGCTCTTTCTTCAAAGACCACATCTCACATCTTCACTTCTTTCTGGTCTCTACTCACATGTTGCTAAGGCACATAAGTGTTACTGGCCTATTTAAAATTGCTTCCACACATGCTTTTCCTAATCCTCTTCCCTGCATAATTTTTCTTCATTACCACTTATCACCATACGGTATTCTGTGCAGTTTCTTTTTACTATATCACCCTCCTACCCCTCTGGAATACAAGTTCCATGAGACCAGGAATGTTTGTTTCTACACAACTCTGTTCCAGGAGGAGACTGTACGATTGTTCCACAAATGACAAATGCTCTTATTATTACTATTACATGTTCCCAGGAAGACAACTGGAAGAAGTAGCTTTAACTCTAATTAACCCACTTTACAATGTAAGTAAACACATGCTAATAGGCAGTAGCCAGGATATGGCAAGTAAGCTCCAGAGATGGAGCTCCAAAGAACTACAACTCCTGATATCCGTACCTTTGTATGCTTTCATCCTTTGAATCTGGTTTGGCTAGTGACTTGCTTAGAACCACCAACAGAATGGGACCCAGATGGCACTGGGGGGCTTCCAAAGCTAGGTCAGAAGAAACCTTGCAATGTCTGCTGTGCTGTGTTGGCTAGTTCTCTCCTGGGGAAGCCATTGTCAGAAAGAAGTTCTTCTACCCCAAGATCCCTTCACTGTGAGGAGACTCAAACTAGCCGAACAGAAGAGAGAGGTGCCCAGCCAGGCCCAGCTGGGCAAGTCATGCCAGCCTAGGTACAAGATATGATTCTGGGACACCCAGCTCAGTCACAGCTTGTGGTGACTCCGGCCCTAGGCAGCATCTAATGGCAACTGCATTAGAGATCCCAAAGGAGAATCAATCGCATAGCTGAACCCACCAGGCCACTGAACCTTGGAAAATAAAAATACAGATTGAGTGAAGCCACTGAATTTTGGACTAGTTGTTAAACAGCAAGTGATAACAGGAACAAGGACAAACTCAGGTGGCCGATTTACCAACGCTGTCCAGCATAGACATACTCTGCTTAAAGAAACCCCAGCATAAGAAATATAATTTTAAAGAAATAAATCAAGGCCTGTAAAAGCTGCGCTTGGAGTGCAGCTTCCAAGGCTTTTGCAAGCATTCATTTAGAGCATACCTGTAATAACTACTTATCAGAAGACTACAAGCAGAAAAACAGAGAAGTGGTGGAAATAACTACTGTTGAAAGATAATTAGGTGCCAAGATAAAGTATCCTGGACTTTATAGTGTAAGTAAATGAGAAAATTATCCAATGACCAAAATCCAATTCACACACAACCTTTCGGGAACAAACACAGATGTTAGATGTTGTTAATTATACTGCTACTTCACAAGTTAAATCTCAAAATAAAGCCACTTCAGTTCCCGAAATGCCTTAGCTTCCATTAACTGGCCTAGAGTACAATTAAGGAGAAACAGAGTTGAGAACTGAATTTTTTCCATGTTAGCAGTCTACACAGCCTACTTTACAGACAGCTGCTAAACTTCCACTGTATCTAACATCTCTGAAAAGGAGTTGCTACTATCAATGCAAGGTTTATTAAGTAGTTCAGTAAGAGAATCCATTAACCCATAGAACCACCAAAACGTGTCAGGATAAGGTTTTATGCTTTTTAGATATTATGGGAGGTTGCTGAAGATTTAAGAACTATTTATCCTTATTTATAAACAAAAGCATTTACTTGATTTTGGATTCTCTTAGTGGAGCATTAAAATACTCTGAAAGAACTATAGAGAGTGAATTGTAGAAAAGCTAACAGCATCTGGTTCAGGGCTAGAAGAAGGACCCATTAGTCCCCAGGGAAGCCTTATTGGTGTGAGGGGCAGGACAAGGCTGAGAGAGTTTGATGAGCATGCTCGACGAAGAAACCAGGTGTTGTTAGTATTCTGCAGAGAGTGGGCTGCAAGGTTGGTCTGTCTTGTGGTTGAGGAAGAATAAGATAAAGGATTCTTTGATGTTTTTATTTAAAGCTTTTCCTCAATAATTCAATAAGAAGATTCATTAACCCATGAAACCATCAAAACTTGTCTGGAATAGAATAAAGTTCCATGCTTTTTAACTACCATTGAAGATTAAGGAATGATTTATACTTTTTGTTAATTGATATTTTCCCACAATCAAAGAGGGTTTGAACGCACCATCCTAACCCACAGGAAATGAATGAGAACTAAACAGCGATGGGTGAAACCCCAGATAGAAGTGGGGTTTTCTGTCTCAGTAGATTATTGTTTACATTTTTCTTTTAAAGAAACTGTTATCTCCCGACAAATCTCTCTAGAAGGAAAAGAAAAAGCTATTTCTGAAGAGGAATTCTGCTTCAAAAGTGCTGGCCGTGCTTAGATGTTTGAGAACTGAAATATAAAATCATCCAGGTAAACGGATTGTCCTCGCATAAAGAAAACCAATCAGGCATCAGGAGCCATCAGTTCCACCTTGAACTCCAAGCAATGCCTGCAGGAAAGATATTCCAGGCTCCCAAAGAAGGTGAGAAAAGAAGGGGAGGGGATGGAAGGTCCATTGGTTATGAAGGCTTTGGGGGATTTGAAGAAGTGTGAACATTTCAGTGACCATTTCAGAAATAAGATAGATACAATAAAAGAACTGTAGGGGGACAAATGATAGAATTGAAGGCCCTCAAGAGATGGAGCAGAGGAGCCCATGGAGAAGAATTAGAAAGAATAATAGATCCAGAGAAAATGGGGGAGAGGGTGCAGTGGGAATATCTACGTTTTTAGCAGCTCTTCAGTTAGCAATGACTCCACTGTGATAAGAGAAAGGAAACAGAATCCACTGGAAATAAAAATCAACTGATAAAGTCCAAAAGCAAGATATTTCATAGCAGATTGCAATTTTTTTGTTCCAGTTTTCTTTCTTTCTGATGACTATTTTTAGCACACAGATCGGAAGACTAACTTTATTTTTTGTAATTTTTTTTTAGTTGTAATTGGACACAACACCTTTATTTTATTTATTTAATTTTATGTGGTGCTGAGGATCAAACCCAGCGCCTCACACATGCTAGGTGAGCGCTCTAACGCTGAGCCACCACCCAGCCCCAAGAATATCTTTATTAATAAAATATTTCTGTTGGTTTCTCTCCCACCACTAATAATGAAAGGGAAGCCACTTCCAATGTCAGAAATTTCTTTGGAGGAATCCTGAAAGTTACACACTGTGGGCAGCTCCTGGCTCTTCAACACTGCAGGGGCTGGTGGTGCCAGTGTGTGCGATGGTATGTGTATATCGGTTGGTATTGTCGCCATATGCTGGCAAGTGACTTCCTGGAAGGGTGAGTCCCTCCTGCCTAGCCACAGCATACCCTGGGCATGCTCAAGGGAGTGATGGACGTTGCCCTAAGTCTACAGGTGCAGGGATCTGATGAGGGGGATCCAAAAAAGAGGATCCCAGAGGAAACTCTCTATAAGAAAAGCAAGCTCTTAGAGAACGGAAAGCAGAAATTAAATGAAAAGATTTAGAGGTTATGTGGCCCAAAGAGAAAACTTCAGAGAGCACGGATATTGGTAATTTACTTTAAATTGCAGAAAAGGGTGAATCGATAATAGGTGGATGCAGCTGTATATAGATGAATATTGGTAAAAACAAATACAGACAAATACTAGTGAGAGGACCCGAGTGGTGGGTATCTGTGTGCGTTAACTATGGATTTCTTTCACCTTTTCTGTATGTTTGAAAATGTTTATAATAAAATGTTGGGGAGAGGGAGGGACCAGATTCAGTGAATGTGATCTGAAATGGAATCTGTAAGTCAGAGTTAGCACTCGTCCCCTCCCATGGGGCTGTTTCATGATGGCTCTTTCTTTTCTTTCTTTATGTACCCCTTCCACATCAACTCTTTTCCTTGGGGCATATTCTTAAGATCCCTCCGAACACATTCAACCTGCCACTGAGAAGAAACCGTGGAATTAAGCAGCATGGCATTCCACAGGAGAGACTTTCCAAGGAAAGCATCTTCTTTTTCTAGTTCTGGCTGGCAAACTTCTCCCCAGCAATGCCTCTCCTTTCCCTTAATGTGGGTAATGTCATTTAGCTGGCTGCGTTGGGGTGCAGTGGGGGGCTTTTTCCTAGTACACAATTTCATACATGGTGGGTGTTGGGGATTTTTGCTGAAGCGTTTGGCTCTGCATTCCCTAAGAGAGTCAGTCTCTGTCTAGGATGGATACTGAACCATCTCTCAGAAGGGCTCAGGCACTGAATCGCCAGTTTTTTCACTTTTGATATAAAAGTCCCCACGTGCAGAATGAGAAGATATTAGTTCCAAAAACTGACAATCAGGAAAGAAAGTTAGTATCAACTGAGATAAAACTCAGGATGTCACCCAGTGTGGTGGTGCATGCCTATGATCCCAGCTACTTGGGAGACTAAGGGAAGAAGATCACAAGTTCAAGGCAATTTAGTGAGACCCTGTCCCCAAATCAAAAATTTAAAAAGGCTGGGGATGTACTCTAGGCTGCATCCAATTTCCTCAGTACTTCAAGGGGTTGGGGGATAAAAGCTTCAGAGTGTCAAGAATTCACAAGTACCTGTGATTCTCTTGGATCATAGGAGTGGACCAAAGGAGAAATGCTAAATTAGACAGGATTCGTTTTATGTTTCCTCCATTTGCCAGTTTTGTGATCCTGGGTAATAACTTTTTGACTATTAACTTCCTTCTCTGTGCTATAAAGAGGATAATGCCTCCCTTGCAAAGTTGGGACAAGGGTCAGATGAGATCATGAATGGAACAGAGCCCAAGCATTGTGTGTTTCCTGATGTTGCTTCCTGATGTCAACTGGTGTCAGTCACTGATCTACACTGACTCTGCCTTGTGGGGTAGAGATTTCAGGAAGCATCTGGGAGAGGCACATTCATAAGTCAGGGAAATTGAAAGATGTCTCAGAAAAAAATGGGAAAGGAGTGCTTGTTTTAGCCCATTTTTCATTACTATAAGGAAATACAGGAGGCTTGATAATTTTATAAAGAAAAAGTGATTTCATTCACGGTACTAGCGATTCATGAGCAGAGCACCAACATAGGCTCCACTCTTATAAAGATTCCACAGTGGACATGGTCAAAAAGATAGGAGCACCTGTGGGAAGAAGAAACCAGCTAGAGAGAGGTGCAGAGATCAGGCTGGCTCTTATAACAACGTGTTCTCAGGAGAGCTCAGGGGTCTCACAAGAACTAACTATCGCTTCCAAGGTCAGTGCTTCCAATGACCTAAGGACTACCGACTTAAACATTCCATACCACCAAACTAAGGACCACACCTCAGATGCATGGGGGACAAGCCACATTGAAACTATAATAGCTCCCATAGAGAATGATGAGGAGAGCCTGGTAAGAGACTGAACAGGACATGGGAAAGGGTTTGTAGGACATTGGGTAAGAGTGACTGAAGGGAGATTTGTTTCTGAGGGTGACTGAGGAAACTTCTAGTGGACCAGCTCAGGAACAGACATCAGCTAAGAACTTTAGGGGCCAAAAAAAGTAAAGAACAAAACAAAGCAAACAAAAAGCTCAAAGACAGCGACCAAAAGAAGGCAGCTTCTGGAAGAAAACAATGGAATTGGGTGAGTTTTGTTCTCATGCTTCTGTGAGGCAGCCTTCAGAATGGCTAACACTCAAGTGTGAGCAACCAGCCCAGATTTCCAGGGATATATCCCAGTTTTAGCACTGAAAGTCTCATGTTCCAGGAAATCCCTCAATTCTAGGCAAACCAGAATATTTGTTAGTCTAATAAATTCTAACAGAAACCTGCAGTTTTCCTAGCCTAAGGAGACAAAGAGATTTTGGGACAAATGCAGCCACTGGGAAATTGGAAGTGAAGGCTAGAAAAGGGGGCGCCCGTGAGAGGGAGCACTATTTTTTTTTTTTTTTTTTGGTGTATGACTGCCTAAATCTCTTACTGACTTCTGAATCACACAGGCTAGGAGCAGACTTAAAGCAGCCCAGCTTAAGAGTAAAAAAACAGAACTGATAGTCTAGTTGCTCCTTCAGAGACAGTTATTTCCATCTGAATCCAAAAAAAGTTAATTACCACCTAACACAAGAGCAACAGCAAAATCCACACTCTTCAGAGAGATGTTAACAGAACTCAGAATCTCTACAACACAATACAGTGTCCAAGAGACGATCTAATATCAACCTACCAAAATACCAAGCTCCACACACCAAAAATCATGAAAATTTGATTGATTTTCAAAAGAAAAGGCTCACCTTGAAATAACCAAGATACTGAAATTAGCGAGGATTTTATAATAACTATGCTCACAGAGAATGTTTACAAAAAGAAAAGATGGTAAATCTCAGATGAGAACTAGATACTGTAAAAAGAAGCCGTATTAGCCAGGATTCTCCAGAGAAAACAACTGAAAAAATATAAGTGTGTGGAGAGAGAGAGAGAGATGGTGGGGGGGGGGGGATTCTTTTAGGAAATTGATTCATGTAGCAGTTGTCAAGTCCAAAATCTGCAGGGGGTGCTAGCTGATCTACCAGGCTGGAGACCCAGGGATAGGCTGGCATTATAGAGAAGTCGAAAGGCAGTCTGCCAAAGAACCAGGAAGACCCAAGTTCACCAATGAGGTCTAAAGGCAGTCAGCTGGAGGATTTCCTCTTGCTGGGGGAGGCCTTCCAACACTACAGAGGGAAATCAGCTCAAAATTCACTGAAAACTCTCATCCACAAATACCCTTGCTAAGACATCTGAAATAATGTTTGACCAAATATTTGGGCACTGTAGCCCAATCAATTTGAAACATAAAAAAAAATTTTTTAAATGCAATTTTATTTTTTTTTTAGAATTTTTTTAATATTTATTTTTTAGTTAATGGCAGACACAACATCTTTGTTTGTATGTGGTGCTGAGGATCGAACCCGGGCCGCACGCATGCCAGGTGAGCACGCTACCGCTTGAGCCACATCCCGAGCCCCTGAAACATAAAAATTAATCAGCATAAATATCGAGCTGAAATTCTTTTGGAAAAAAAAAAGTCTAAACCAAAGAAAGAGAAAAAAAGTAATACCCATATAAATGCAGCCACCCTATGATCACAGGGCCCCCATGCAAAAAATATTACTGAAGCCTTCAATGCTGCAGCACTAGCCTCTTGTCTAGAAGCTTCTGCAAAGGCTAACCTTCAGTCCCGTGGATTATTTTAAACTCTGCTACCATTTACATCTGCAAGGACAGCCAGGATAAGATTTCTCTTCCTGGTCTTTGTTTCTTTTCTTTTTCTTACCTTATTGCAAGTGCAAGACCTTGAATAGAAATGGAGGAACTGGATATCCTTACTTTGTTCCTGATCTGTGGGGGAAACTGTTCAATATTTCACCATTAAGTATTACATTAGCTTCAGGGTTTTTGTAGACACCCTGGTCAGGTTGAGAGTTCTCTTCTTATTTGACTGATCATTTTGAGGCTTTGTTTTGCTTTTGCTTTTTGCCTTTGTTGTGTATTTTTAGATCACAAATGAGTTTTGACTTTTTTTTCCAAATGCTCTTGCTTACCTATTGAAATAAACATGTGATTTTATTTTGCAAGTGTGACAGATTGTTGAATGTTAAGTCAACTACTCCAGGGATAAAACTTACTTGGTCATGATATTTATTCATTTAAAAAGTTTTATTTGTGATATTTATTCTTTTTCTATACTGCTGGATTTGATTAGCTAATGGTTTCTTGGAGTTTTGTGAATATAGATTCGTGAGGGATATTGCTGTATAATTTTGTAATGTTTTGTCAAACTTGGGTATTAGAGCTCTGTTGGCCTCATATAATGAGTTGGAACTATATTCTATTTTTTAGAAAGTTAACCTTTAAAAAAATATTTGATAGAAGCCAGCAGAGAAATAAAATGGGCTTGGATTTTTGTGAGTTTTTTGGTAAATTCAACTTTCTTTTTTACAACTTTTTTTGTTTATTTATTTACTTATTTTTATGTGTTGTTGAGGATTGAAACCAGTGCCTCACACATGCTAGGCAAGCAGTCTACCTCTGAGCCACAACCCCAGCCCCTCAACTTTCTTAATAAATAAAAAACGATTCAGGTTTCCTGTTTTACCTTGTACCAGTTTTTCTAAGTTATTCAAGGAGTTTTTCCAATTTCATCTAAATTGTTGGATTTGTTGGCACAAAGTTGTTCCTATTACTCCTCAACATGCTTTGATGTTTGTAGGATCTGTAGTACAACCCCTCTTTCATCCTGACATTTGTAATTTCTATTCATTCCTGCATTTTCAGTACTTTTTATCTTTTTATTGCTGAATACAGTTTCATTGTATGAATATACATTTTCTTTACCCATTTATGAATTGATGGGACGTTTGAGTTGCTAGCATTTTTTGGCATTTATTAATAATGATGGTATGAACATTCATGGACAGATTCTTAGGTTGACTCCTCCAGCATTTAGAATGACTTGCTGCTTTGATCCCAACAGCTCCCTCCCCATTAGCCACCCACTCTCAGGCCCTCAATGCTGTATACTAAAGTGAGTTTCTCTTGGTTCCTGTCCCTGAAAAGTAAGTGGATTGTGTAACCTGATCTGAACGTGGGGTGAAATCTTGAGTGGCTCCAGACACCTGGACACTCAGGAGGCCTAGAGGTACAGAAAAAGTCACAGTGGGTACAGAATTTCATTAGAACCATTGCTTAAGAATTCTTGTGCTATAGGTGATTTTCCAACTCATGCAAATGAACTCACATATTGTTAAACAGTATAATTTGCCTTGTAGATTAGCTTTGTTCATATGCACATTCTCTTATTCCTAAAAATCTTCCAGAATAACTTGTTACATTCTGGAAAAGATTTCACCCCCTTGGAATCCACAAACTCCTCTGTAATTTGCACATAACTTCAAAGGACAAAAAGCCAATCATTTATTTTTTCTTCACGTTTTTATCATTTACCCATTTTATCACCTTACCCCGAACTATTTCCTCTGAAGTCTGTGCAGGAGTCTCATGCTAAATAAGAATCTGGCAAGTCCTTTACTTTCTGCTTTCCTCCTAAAGGGATTGGGGGTGAAATTACTGAAAAATCTTTATATGGGATAATAGGCCAGGTCCCGAATTAACTTAATAAGTAAATAAGGAAGGAGCAGAAGGAGGTTAACTATGTGTGAATTTATAGATGTTTTGGTGTCTGGAGCTCATGTAAATAATATATTACCTCGCTGTAAATATTAACTCTGCTCGAGTTGAGGTCTTTAAACACAAATTAGCAGAGCTCCAGGGAGGGAAGAGATGCTTGGTGCTTAATGATCTTTTTAACACTAGCTCCAGGTACTCAGGACCCTACAGGGAATTCCTGGAATGGGTAGTCCTTAGGACGCTGGTCTCCAGTGCTGAATAGTTTGTAAAGGGGGAAAAAAAAAGAATCTTCTCTCTATAAAATAAAAATGGAACCACTCAGGCAATTAATCCTTTCAGAACAATTAAGATAATTGGTATTGGCCTGGAGACTGGGGCTTTTAAACATTCAGTAGGTTCCTTTTTTTTTTTTAATGGTAATAAAAGTAGAACCTTCCACCAAGCTCATTAGTAGAGGTAAGGGCTTGTATGCTGGTCGCAAGGCCCACCTGCCTTCCCTTTCTCTGCAAAATACCCGTGACGCCCACCCCACCCTTGCCCTCACCCCACCCTCACCCCCAACCCCACCCTCATCCCCACCATCACCCCCACCCTCACCCCCAACCTCACCCTCACCCCACCCTCCTTCACCCTCACCCCCACCCTCACCCTCATCCCCACCAAGTCTCTGCCTCCATCTTTTCTATTTGCTGCTCCCATTTCCACATCTGTGCAGTGAAGATGTTCTCCATGATTCCATTTTCTTCTCCCCCACCTTCTTTTCAGCCCCCAAACGTGTAGCTCTGTGAGAATTGTCCACCTGCCTCTCTCCTTCCTCCCACCCACTCCCACTTTGAAATCACTGCCTTTCCCCACCTCCTCTCTGCCACCTCTGGGACTTCTGCCAGCCGGGCCCACCCACCTCCACCCCATCTGCCCCAGTGGCTTCCTTCCTTCGGCCTCCCCTCGACTGCACCTTGTCCTGTGGGCTGGGACCTTGGGACCTTTGTGCCCATTTTTTATGGACTGTGAAGCTGAATACCCTCAGCAATTTGTTTAACTTGTCTGAGTCTCATTTTCTTGTTTATCTTTTTTCATAGATGAGAATATTTGAAGAATCAAATATTATAAAATTATAAAGTATTATGAAGTGTCCATATGTAATAGGCTTATAATTTGCACTTGATAAGTGAGGTCTGCCTTTAAATGTGCCTGATGCATAAAAGATGCTCAGTAGACCTTAGTTCTTCCCGGCCTCCTTCCCAACATGCCTCCCTTCATTTGGAGTTGAAATTCCTCATTCCCATCCCACCCACTCCCATCCCACTGACTCCCATCCAGGGATTCACAGGTTTATTTCAGGGACTGAGGAACAGTCAGCCCTGAGTAAGCTGAGTTCAGCCAGGTGGATTAGGGTGAGCAGCTTGGCTGACTGTGTGAAGGCGCCTAGGCCAGTTACCTGATTGAAAAGTACTTTGGTATTTTTAAGTGCATTTTATCAGTTAAAAAAAATAGTTCTACTTTCTTTTTAAGTAAGAAATGTATAGTGCTTAGCCAGTGTATAGTAGACTAGGGAAGAAATTGTCCAGGCATCTGGAGACTACCATGCTAAGTGAAATAAGCTAATCCCCCAAACCAAAGGCTGAACGTTCTCTTTGATGTGCAGATGCTGACACACAACAAGGGGAGGGGGAGGGAAGAATAGAAGCCCATTATATTAGAGGAAGGGGAATGAAGGGAAGGGAGAGAGGATGGGTTAGGAAAGCCAGTAGAATGAGTCAGACATAACTTTCCTATCTTCATACATGAATACACCACAGTGAAACTCCACATCATGAACAACCACAAGAATGGGATCCAAATTAGAATAAGTCATACTTATGTATAATGTGTCAAAATACACTCTACTGTCATTATGTCTAAAAAGAACAAATTAAAAATTTTTAAATATATAGACTTGGGGAGAAAAATTAAAAAGAAGGAAGAAATTGTCCAGGCAGGTTGGCGACTGGCTAACCAACCTGCAGGCCTTTACACACACATCCTCCTCTCCCCTCAACAACCTCCACTTCCTTCCTTCCTTCCTTCTTTTCTTGCTTGGAGACCTAACCACTATTAATAATATTATTTCTAGGGCCTAAGATGATTGCCAAATATGTGATGGGACTCCAGTTTTCCTAGTCTCAGCAATGTTTCAGGGAAGGGGTATTAAGAGGAATTACTCAATTTTCCAGACTCTGCCTACCTGCTAACACAGGAATGCCACCCCTCTGAAATTTCACCCAAGAATGTCTGGACATGCTTAGGAACCGTCTGCAGTGTCTAGCCATCTGCAGCACTTCCTACTGGGGTGCCACAGTGCCACCGGGAACCGTGTCTCTCCTTGTTTGTCCCCTGGATACAGTTGTTCCCTGTAAGTGCCATCTCTGAGTTCTCATGGTCCCAGAGCACTGTTGCTTCAGGCCTGAGATTTTATCAAGAATTTTAAAACAGAGGTTTTCAGCTTTTGCTGATGGCCTTCTCTCTTTTTTCCTAGACAGGTGTGTCTGTGTGCCAGAGGACTGGGCCAGGCACAGACTGAACTGACTCCCCGCCTCCCCCTCATCGTAGTCAGAGACTCTTCATGCTCAGTGGCTTCTTCCCTATGGATGGGTCTAAGGAGCTGCCCAGTTCTGTCGATCAAACCGTCTCCAGTAGCTACTCAAGACAAGTTCCTCCTCGGGAAACTCCTCAGCCCCCAACAAACACCTGAGAGGCCTGTCCTGCTTGTCCACTGTGGACAACAGAAGATGAGTTCAAGGGGAAACTCCAGCACATGCTCTCACAAATAAGCTATTTGTGAAGCTTATTGATAAGATTCTGTCTTTCAAAAACTGGCAAGTGCCTGACCAACATTTCCTTAAGGTATAAATGTGTGGTCATAAAGGATGATTTAAAGAAAGTTGGGTAATCTCTGAAAGATAACTGGTTGCAATCGCCCTGTATTCCACTGGAGTCTTTTGCAGATAATGCTCTGGTTCCATCCATATTTTTGATGAGTCTAGGAAGGGGGGAAAAAAAAAGAATCAAGACCCATTTTTAGTGAAGAGGGAGCAACTGGACCATGGTTTTGAAGACTTGGTTCTCAATTACTCAGTACTGCCATCAACACGATAAGATAAAGGCTAAAGGGAAAACTTGTAAGAGGGAGGACACTTGCTAATAATGGGTGTTCCACTTACCAAGGACAGCAGAGGAGTTGGCTTTTTGTTGGTAGCTTTTGAGATCTGAGAATTCATTGGGCCCATTTCATCTTGTAGAGAAACCACTCTTGGCCTGTGTCATGAAAGACGAACAGGAAGCCATTTTGTTGCATTGAACTTCTTGGATCTTCCACTCTTTAATTCTGCTTGTACTTTCAGAGGAGCATCTATACCCTGAGTGAATTTAAAAAGGATTCCGAGCAGTACCAAAGGAAAATAGATCCTGAGCACCTGATGCCACTCTCTACTCAGAGGCTAGGAAAATGCAAATGTGGATCCTCAGGAGGCCAGGCATGTAATTCATTTGGTTCATCAGTCACCCAGTCACCAGCCATTATTAAACACCTCCATATACATGCTTGGCCCTTTGCCAAGCACTAAGAATTCAGCTATGAGTAAACTCTGTTCCTATATTTTACCCAGGGGTTAAGGAAAATTAGGACGGGGTAAACTATAAGTTGTGCTATTTTGGTATGCCACATCCCTGGGGTTATTGGTGGCCATTTTTCTCATACTTTCTTCATTTGCTCCTTGACACAGTTTCTGGTCAGGGTGCCATGCTTCATTCTGTTGGCATATGCAGACTCCAATAATTTGTGAAGCAATAGAAAACCTGTTCTCTCCCAGGGTGTCACCAACCATGTGGCTGCTTTTTGCTCTAAACTTCTGAGAAGGACTGCCATGATCCACACAGGTTCTAAGGACTGCCATGATCCACACAAGTTCTGGCAGCCTCTCCTTTTTATGTCTCCTGGGCCATCTCAGTGAGAGCTGCACCACTTTTGTAAGAAGGCGTGGCTAGGGGAGAAAGAACAACCCTCATCATCAATCTCGAGCCCCTACTCTGTGCCAAGACCCTGTACCAGATGCTTTATGCACATTATCCTTTATTCTCCCCCAACTCTTATGAGGTAGGCATTAATTCCTGTGTTAGTTAATTTTTTATTGCTGAGACCAAAATATCTGACAAAAACAACTTAGAGGAGGAAGTGAATTTTGGCTCAAGGTTTTAGAGGTTCAGTCCATGGTCAGCCAACTCCACTCCTCTGGGCCTGAGGTGGAAGAGTGTGATGGAGAAAAGCCACCTCAGCTCATGACAGCTAGGAAGCAGAGGCACAGAGACAGGAAGGGACCAGAAACAGCATCCAAGGCCACGCGTGGCCCCCACTGACCTACTTCCTCTAGCCATGCCCACTGCCTACACTTAGCAGCTAGTAGTCCATTCCGATTATTAATCCATCAAATGGATTAATCCACTAAGGAGGTTACAGCCCTCTACCCAGTCTTTTCACCTCTAAACATTGCCTAACACATAAGCTCTTTGGGGCCAGTCTAGATTCAAACCATAACAGTACCCTCATTTTATAAATGGGAAAACAGAGAATTTCAGAGTTTATAAACCTTTGGATCTCATAACTAAAAGTTGCTGAGACAAGACTCAAAACCAAGTCTACTTAATTCAAAGGAAATAATTAGAAAAGCCCAAGTGAAGAGCAGCCAGGTAGGAACGCGAGCTGAATTAAAGATGTTGCGCATTTGCCTCTTTCTGCAGATATGTGTGCAATCCTCTTGGTTATTTCACACACACCTGCATGACACTCCCAGGAGGAGACCTAGAGGAGCCACTGATTTAAGGGGTCAGAGAAGAGGGACAGTCCTCTGCAGTAGGCACCCTCATTCCACAGTGTCGTGACAAGCTCGCCTTGACATATCCTTCCCCAAGAACGAGCCTGTTATACACATTCGCATATTAATGGGCTTGGGGCATCACCCAGAAGATCAGTGTCGACTTTCACCGCTGTGTGGGCTGCCTTTGAAACTTCCCCCAAAGTGACCTCTAGCAAAGTCATTAAAATCAATGTGGAGATCCTGCCTTGGGTCCTTGTCACTCTGGTTCCAGGAAAAAGAGGAACAGCTGAAATTTACTGATCCAAATCCTGGTCACCTGGGAAGGAAGAAGAAAATACAGCTTGCTTTTGTTATTTAACACCCTTGGCTAATTAAAAAGGAATTGCCATTTGCACTTAAGGGGAAATACGTTGAAGGGGAGAAGATTATTTTTTAGGTAAACTTTACGCTTAAAATGCAATCCTCTGCTTCCTCGACATTTTCTTTGGAACAAATAAGATTTCACCTTGCCAGATTCTCTGAGAACAGTCAGTCACACCAGGTAAGTGGAAGCCATTGGCACATGTTATTGGTTCCTGTACAGAAGAGGAAACATGAACATGCTCTGCACGTCAGCAAATGAGTCAGGGGCACCCAGGTATTCAGCAGCAATGAAGCCTCGCCCAATAAACCTATGATTGCTCATGAGGATCAGAGTTTATTTTTTTGTTTTAAAACTGGCAGTGGGTTTAATTCTTTATAGCTTTAGTCCTGCCTTGGACATTTTTTTTTTCTCGGCCTTTGGTCATGATTCTGGGAAATAAAACTATCATGACTTCTCCATGGGCAAGGAGTCAGACCCTGATTCTGATTTACTAAGGCTGATGGAAGTTTGGATCCAGGTTGTCTGTCCCAGATCTTATCGTGCCTGCACTCAGCAAGACATTGCTCACATTTTTTAGGTGGAGCTAGAGCTTCAAGGAGTGGGAGGCTGAGAAGCCTTACACCACACTGCCTCCAACCCTGCCCCAACCCCTCCGCCAGCTCAAAGTAACTCACAACCACCAGTGTCTACTACATGCACCTCGTGGCCTCCTAGTCTCTTTGGATGCTCCATTTTTTTGGCCTGGTCTGAGCTGGCCTGGTTTCTGTCTCCTACTTTGGCACATTTACCAAGTTTTCCATTCCCTAAAAGTACATCTGTGCTGCAAATAGCCCTGGCTGTCTAGCTAAACCCCAAGAAAGCCTCTCACCCACCCACACACTGCTTGATGACCTGAATGCACCTGAGTTTCAGGTGCCAAAGATGAAAGAACACGCAATTAGCTGCAGTACTCTATTAATCAGTCTCTCCAAATGCAACAAACGGAGGCAAAAAGCCAAGCATATTTAGCCTTTTTTTTTTAGCTGTTTACATCTAAATTTAAGTAGTCACCCCTTTCATCAATAGCAATTAATATTTCCTGAATGCTTATCAGGAGCATGGCATTGTACAAAGCCCACCTAGGGCTTTTCACAATGTAGTGGGTGTGAAATTTCCAGTCTCAACGAGCATATAATACTAAGCAAGACATGGCAATTAATTAGCGAATATTTATGGAGTGCCTTGTTTAGCCTCAGCATTTGGCTAGAAGTGTGTATATCACAATTCAACAATTGTAGGAGGGACTCTGGAAGCTGTCTTCAAAGCCCTGAGCCCTACTTCACAGAGGAACTTGGACAGTTCCTTCCCCACTTCAGCCCCTAGGCACTTCTTCTTCTTATTATTATTTTTTGGGGGGAGGGGTACTGGGGATTGAACCCAGGGGCATCCTAACCACTGAGCAACATCTCCAACCCTTTTTTATATTTTATCTAGAGACAGGGCCTCGCTAAGTCGCTGGCTTTGAACTCCTGATCCTCCTGCCTCAGCCTCCCAAGCTGCTGGGATTACAGGCTTAGCCAGGCACTCTTTTCTTATTCTCTCAGCTCTATCAGAGGTTTCCAACCAGGAGCAGCACCGTCCCTTCAGGGAGTGTTTGGAAAGGTACGGGAGCAATTGGCACCTACATTGGGCTGTTGCAAACTTGCATTTACTGTGTAGAGTATGTGGATGCTGATGTCCCACAATGTGCCCGGCAGCCCTCCACAACCAAGAACCTTCCCACTCAATATGCCAGGAGAGCACCTGTTGAAACCTGATAGAACAAAAACTCTGAAAACACCCAGTGGCTTGAGGAGCCCTCACTCCATCTTCCTCCCCGATTCTTTGGGAAACCCTTTTTGGAAGGGAGTGACATGTGGAGGGGGCAAGGGTCAAGATAACCCAAATTCTCCAAATTCCCCAGGCATTTGAGATGAAGTCTCGTGATCTGTTCTGCTAACAAGTCAAAAATAAAAAATAAATAAATAAACTTTGTGATGTTAACTTTTTGGGGAAGAAGTTAAGCAAGATTCTAAGTTTAGAATATTATTTTCAACTCAACAATCACATCACAGTTGTCCTTCAGGGTAATTTTTCTTCATAAAGGTGACTAATTATGAAGGAAAGAGAGGCTCGAGCGTTTAAAAAGGACTCAAGGGGTCTGCAGTAGAATGTTCATCAGAGCCCCCTCTGGCTGCCCCAGCCCTGGGCATCCCAAGATGGCCTGCATGATAGCCCAGCTGCTCAGAACTGCGCCAGCCAGAAGCCAGGGAGGGGCAGTCAAAATGCAGAAAGAAGTGGAACCAACTGCAACCAACCCAGGGTCAGCAGTGGAAGGGGACAGTGGCACCCAGCAGATGACAGTGTAGACCAGGCAGCCTGAGTCTGCAAGACAGGGAAGAGTGCGTGGGGAGCCACAAGAAGGATCAAACTTATTTGGAGCCATGCTCTTCAGGACCTGAAGAGTGACCTTAGAGAGTGGCATCTGGCTGTGAGGTAGGTGAAGAAACCCTCAGGGCAGGGAAGCCAAATCTTCATTCACTCACCAAGAGGATTATGGCACCGATTCAAAAAGAGTGAAAGGCAGTGAAGAATGGATTGGGAACCTCTGCGTTGGCTTACAGGCAGAGTAAAGCTACCAGCATGGCCTAGACCATTGCTGGGGTCTTCCAGGAAAAGATGAGGAGACTTAGAAAAGGCTCATGTGATCTTGGAGTTGCCCAAGCCGACTGGTGATTTGGGCAGAAGGTGTTTAAGTCCAGGTTCTACTGTTTCCTACGGTGTGACCCTAGACAAGTTATGCAAACTTTCTGAGCCTCATTTCTCAACTTCAGATATAGATGATACCTGCTCTCTATAAAGAGTAGAAACAATGGACTGAGAGCTCAATACTCATACGTCTTAGGTGGTCAACAGACAATACATAGTCTTACTTGATCTTTCTCTAAGAGCACACCATAATAGCTTCTTACCACATAAACTAGTACTTAATTCCATACTGTTCTTCTCAATATCTGTTTTTGACATAATTTTCCTAATTCTGTGATGATTAGAGAATTATGATCAGAGACATTACTGCAGGATGCTTTGTCATAATGATGGTATCAGTTAAAGCTCATGGTTACAAGTGACAGAAAACCCCATTCAACAAAATTATGGCATTTGCTGGTAAATGGATGGAGCTGGAGAATATCATGGTAAGCAAAATAAGCCAATCCCCTCCCCACCAAAAAAAAAAAAAAAAAAAGCCTGAATGTTTTCTCTGATATGTGGATGATAATTACCATAAGGAGGATGGAGGCTAGGAAAGAATAGAGTTACTTTGCATTAGGTAGAGGGGAGTGAAGGGAGGGGAGGGGTATGGGGGTAGGAAGGATAGTAGAATGAATCTGACTTTATTACCCTACGTGCATATATGACTAGTGTGATTCTACATCATGTATAGCCAGAAGAATGAGAAGTTATACTCCATTTATGTATGATGTGTCAAAATGCATCTTACTATCATGTATAACTAATTAGAACAAAATTTAGAAAGTTAAAAAAAATTTATAAACCAAAGGAAGAATAACCAAGAGTAGATATTTAATTTACATTTAATATTAGACATTTTATGTGTTATGTTGTTACTGAATATCACAAAAATATATTCTCTAATAAATTGGATTAGATATTAAAGCATGTATCTAATATATCCCCCCACTAAAAAAAGGAAAGAAAGAAATGAAAGAAAAGACCCCATTCAAACTGGTTTGAGACAAAAAGTGGAAATTATTTCCCAATTTAAACTGAAAAATGAAGGAGTGGATTTGGCGGGCTTTAGATATAAAGCAGTCTGGCGTCCAAATAATATCACCAGGACCATGAGTTGCTTTTTCTCTTCCACCCTTTGGCTTAGTCTTAAATAGAGAGTTCACTCATGGTGGCAAATATGGCTCCACTATCTCCAGACACTCAGATTCAAATCCCGTATAAAACTCGGGACATAATCTGCTCAGATTCAATCGGGTCACACGTTCATCCCAAACAATCACTGTGGCCAAGGGGATCTGGTGCTCTGACTGGCAGGGGTCACCTGCCCGCCCCAGACCTGGATGATGAAAGCTACTTGAAGCATTTGTACTGAGCAGAGGAAGGGGCTGCTCCACACAGGAAATGCAAGATGAATGGGAACTGGGCAGAAAAACAATAAAAATCCACTCCAAGTTCTTTACACACTGCAGGACCACCGCTAGGACCCCTCAGGTGATTAGAATACAGCACTAACCAGGCTGTGGCCAGCTGTTGACCAGCCAGGTGGGCCATGCAGTTTGGTTCAGAGTTTCTCAAATACAGTTATGACCATGACTGTCTGAATCTCCTGGGATGCTTGCTCAAAATTTAGGTTCTTGGGTCTTCTCCAGATCTACTTTATCAGAAACTCTGGAGCCGAGCCCCAAGAATCAGGAGGCTTTCAGAAATTTCTAATGGACAGAATGTTTGAGAATGACTAAAGCCTAAATCCTGGGCCCTGTCAGTCCATGTGACATTCAGGTACTATAAACCCATGAGATGAGTGCTGTCATGGTGGTTTTGTGTTTCATCATTTTGATGAGCCATCCTTTGATTGAGGGGCCACACACAGCTGCTTTCTTTCCAGTAGGGAAATTGAGGCACAGGAAGCTGATAAATTAGTGGCAGAACTGGCTCCCTGTGTCTGAGTTAATGTTGTAACTGCTCCGACTCCCATAACCTCACTATTTCAGCTTTGTTCTTCTTCATAAATAGTGTTGAAATAAACTGGCAGTCTAGTTAGGTGCAAGATAAACTAAACTTGAAAAGGGTCTCCTCCATATTTAAGATTGAGTTTGTTAAGTTTCTTTTCTTGCTAAAAGCCTCTCTTTTGTTAACTGAAACCACACATTTTCCTGTAGCATCCCACCTGGGACACAAATCCTCCTTTTGTACATTGTATCCACACTGTATACACTACCCACCCATTAGTCACTTTGTAATTGTCAGTTATCAGATTGACTATCATGGTATCTGTGTACTTGGGTCAAATAGGACCTTATATAATAGCATAACACTCCATCACAATGTCTAGTCATTCACCCCCCTCCATCATGCAGGTAATGTATTATCTTGTCATCACAAGAAAGGTAGGTCTGGGGAGGTAGCTCAGTGGCAGAGCCCTAGCCTAGCATGTGCAAGACCTAGGGTTCAATTCCTGGTATTGTAAAAAAAGCACAATAAGTTGCAATTGTTCCATTTTATTATTAGTTATTGTTGCCAATCTCATACTGCTTCTAGATATTGAAGCATATATCTAATGTCAAAATGCTCTAAAAGATGAAGAGATATCTTTTTTGTACATCTGCATTTGTGTATAATAATATATAAAATTTATATGTTAAATTTTATCATAAGTATGTATATATAGGAAACAGTATATACAGGAGGTGGTA